AGAGTGCATTTGTACCGAAAATTAAAGAGGGATACGATTGACCCAACTTTTCCAACACTGTAGCTAATGGAGCATCTGATTGCGTGTCGCTAATCTAGCAGCTGATTGTGTGTGAACACTAAAAATCGGTAACTCAATTAAATGGTTAATTGACTCAATTAAATTTCTGTCTGAGATTAATATTAAATTTACGAAATTCCACTACTCTCGGAAGAAAACGTTCATAGGACATGAATGCGCAGAGAAATCTTAAGCATTATCAACACCAGCTACGTAACTCTTACTAACTCAAAAGTTTATAATTCACATTTGACATCTAAGTAGTTCGCATCCTATTTCCTCCTTTTAGCTGTAGTGGCTCATACCGGTTCTTTGTTTTAAGCCCTGCTTGCATTTATCTGATTGTATAACCGCTATCGATGCGAGTAAAGCACATTATCTAATGTGTGCCATGTCACTGCGCGGCTACATAAGGTGGCGCTTCAGAAAAAAAAAATATCCTTTATGGTCTTTCACAATCAACTTAATTTTCATTTGAGGTTTCCTTGTCTTCTTCTGCAGAATAAACAAAATTTGCAGCTTTTATGCGCAATCACATGACAATTTCCACCGCACACACCCGCATATGCGCCACTCTTACTCCAACCCCCCCTGCATAGGAGCAGTTGCTCTGTATTTGGTACCGTAAAGGAATTTGCTCGTATTCGCTTATTTGCGTATCACAACGCACCTTTTTGGCTGCCGCCAACTGGCCACCGACCAACCAGCCGCCATCCAATCGAGCAACCAATACAGCTCCCAGACAACTAGTTCCAGTTGCTCTAGCTCCAATTCGGCGCACAGCTAAGCCCTGCTGCTACTATTTCCATGATAAATGTTTGTGCCATCGCTCGTGTCTGCAATTGTTTGCAGCTAATGTTGCCAATGCTTATTGCTGCAGCCGCTGTGACTACTGTGCCTGCTGACAACGATTGCCCACTCTTGGGTTGACTGGTGGTTGGTCGGCCGGCCGGTTGTTTGCCTGGTCATTGGCGCTCGCTGTGGCGTTGTACTCGTATTTGGTAAATTGTTTTATTGCGATTGCAATTACGCTGACGCGTTTCTATGCTTATGGTTGTTGTCAGCTCCCGAGGAGGTCCAATACGAGTATATGCCGGCGCTGCATAGGCTAAACGACATCAAAATATTGTTGCAGCGACAAACCAACTCTGCAATATGGCAACATGTGACGGCTGAGCTTTGGCTGCGGATTTGCTCGCATCGGGCTTTGCAGTATTTTTGTTTCCATTGTTTTTTTTTTTTGGTCTGTTGTTGCTCGTTTCATTCACGTGTGATATTACACAAATAAGTACATTGATTGTATGAACATTCATTGGTGTGGAGCGCATCTCTGCGCCAAGCATGTCCAGGTATGCTTCTGCTATGCGGCCGCACATGCGCAGATTGCTTGCCAGCGCCAAACTAAGTTCGCAAGTAAGACAACATCGCGTCGATCTGTCTGCTCGGCGACGTCGGTGAATGGAAATGGTTTAGGAAATCAGGAAGCTTTCTTTCTTTCTTGCTTGCTTGCTTGACCTATCGCTAATAGACGGCATTATTGTATCATTTAGGGACGGCTGGGCAATGTTTCAGATGATAATAAATGGCTTACCAGCCAAATAGCTGCAGTTAGTGACAGGCAGACACTGCTCACGCGTATGCACAGGGACAAGCGCATTGTGTCAGAATCGACTACCAAGTACATAAATGAACAATCTAAAAATCTGAATTCTTAAGTAAAGAAATTTACGTCAACGTGCTTGAAGTACAAATAAAGGAGATTTTCTATATTCGCCTGTGAAGGCAATCTTAGTTGGAATAAGGTTTATAAGTTTTGGGCATTAGCATTATGACGTCAATTTAAACTTGAGAGATTGAATCCGCAACCTTGTAAAACTTCTGCTACACAAAATTTTCCAAGGTGTACACCTCGGCTCGCAATGGTACATAGTTACATACAAATGTGCCTCATTAAAAACGGCCCTCTGAGCAAACGATACGAGGACTAGGATTTACGAATATACCCCTGGAATGTTCCGACGCTCTATACTATAGGCCCTAAGGCAACTAAACTGATTACTCGGTATCGCGCCGATCACCGTAGGTTTTTTTTTTAATGTATCGTTCGTGCAGAAGGGAGGCCGAGTAAATAATGTGAAATTGGCTATTGATGACGTTTACTTTTCCCTCTCTAAGCCCAACCGGTTTTTTTTATCAACTGTCACCATGACTTTTTTCTACCTGCCTCTATATAGTCGAAACACTGTGCGTCGCAATGCTGCAGTCACAATGGACAGCCAAAAAATATAGCAATCGACTTTCAATACGGCCTATTCAAGCCACTCCTCATCGCCTGGATATAAATGAGTAGTGGGACTTCAACTCCCAATCACTTCGTATCACTTCGGAAGGGGTTGTTGGTTATTACCAACCGCGCAGAAACAGCTGGTGAAGGGAAGGCACAGATTCCTTTTTAAGAGAAAGAAAAGGGGGGATTAGGAGCACTTGAGATTCTGGCAGGCAGGAATGCGGCTCGAAAATTCTATCAGAAAATAAGGCAGCAACCAAATGGTTATAATACAGGGGCTAGTTCCTGCAAAGATGATGATGGAAATATGATAACAGATGTCTAGAGTACTTTTGAGAAATAGAGGGAACACTTTTCAATGCTTTTGAACGGCGAATTTGTTTGATGGATACATGCCCGAAGAATGGAAACTCAGTGTACTTTGTTCAATCCACAAGAAGGGAGATCCCACCGTTGCGAACCAACTGAATGGAACTTATCAGTGTGGCTTCAGACTTGGTAAGTCCACCATGGACCAGGTTTTCACAGCACGTCAAACCCTGAAGAAGACACTAGATAAGCAAATCGACACACATTTTTGTCGACTTAAAAGCTGCTTTTGATAGCACGAAGAGAAGCTGCCTGTACGAGGGCATGCCTAAATTTGGGATCCCCGCAAAATTAATACGATTATGGAGCTCTCTGCGCCGTTTGAAAAAACACGAGGTTTTAGACAAGGCGATTCACTCCCGTGCGACTTTTCAATCTGATGCTGGCAAGCGTAATAAAAGCTGTCAATCTGAATTGCAGCGGCACCATATATAGCAAAAGAAAGATGTCGTATGCAATGATATCGACATCGTCGGCCTTAAACAAAGGAACGCAACGCAGTATTTTCAAGTCTAGAAAAAAGAAGGGAAAGAGATTGGTCTAGCAGTGAACGAGGACAAGACAAAATAACTCCTGCCAACATGTAAAGAGTCTACGAGTTTCGGGACACACTGTTGGTAGCTTTAACTTTGAAGTAGTGAAGGACTTTGTCAAAACTTTTGCCAACAACTGTTTGAGCTTTTTAACGCCATGAACCTAGTTAAGCGCATAAAAATGCAGCGATTGCGCTGACTTGAACATGTTGTACGCATGGATTACGACGCTCCTATGGAAAGATCCTTCGACTCCGCCCCATAGGCGAATAACGAAAGCAAAGGCGCCCACGAACAAAATGGAGGGACCAAGTGCAGCAGGAACTGTTTGCACTCAGGATGAGCAAATTCGCACAGGAGATAGGCAATTGGACAACCTTTTTGGTGTCGGCCCAAACCGATAAACGGTTGTACTGCCAAATAAGGAGAAGATAAGAAGACAAGCAACTACAGACAAAGTCCTACAAGGTGCACTGGTTTAAGTATTTATTGGTAAAAGTGGGGCGCTAACTTCACAGAGCTCCATTCTGCAACCGGCATGAATAACTTGCGATGCTTCGCGAGGACTAAAAACAAAAAATAAAACATATCTTGAGAAATAAATCTACTAAGTTACATAAAATTTATACAAAACTATTTAATTACCAATTGAATGCAATTCACAGAAAAATCTGCTTCTTTTACTCGAACTGTAAATGCACCAGAGGTCTATGCAAAGAAAGAAGGTATGAATCCGGAAAATTAAAAGCGTCATCTGTTTGCAAATGTTTGGTCTTTGGGGTGTCAATGACAGCCAAGAAGGATAATATCACAACCACAACAATAAGAACACAACAAACATAGCACAGCAAATAGGAACAGCCGTAGGAGGGCACAACAAAAGAAGCATACAAAGCAAATTGAGAAACCAAAGGAAAAAAACGGAGGCAAACAAAAACGAACGACGATGACGACAGCCGGCACGCGTTCAGGTAAAAATGGACAGTTAACTACCGCTAAGAGTCAGCAACGCATACCTATGTATACCTTCATACAAACACACATACATATGTATGTAAGTCATCTGAAAGAGTCTCAATCGAAGCGTCTAAGTAACTGCATAGCTTTCCTGCTAAATGGGCTCTCGAAATATGTTATTGCTACAGGATCGTTGCCAAAACTATGCAGGTACCTGAAACAGTGAATCAAGGAGGAGGAGGAGACGAGACAAACAAACAATTGACTTCGACGATCAAACAGCCGGTGCTGGCTAGCAGTCTGGCAGGCAGAGAATCAAACTGTGATCTAAAATGAAAAAGGTGAATAACCAGCGAGCGCAGCGCCTAGGGTCAGCCGCAAAAAATCCAATCTGAAGAATTACCGGCAAAAAAAAGGGTGTTCGAACTGGAAGAAGCTTTCTTAATAGCCATTTTTTTTATTAAAGAGAGGAAGCTGCTACTTCCACCACAGAAGGCGG